AACAGAAAAATGGCTTTCTCTTTTCAGTGGATGCTTTTTAAGACAAGACAACAGTTGCTCAGTGTTTGCAAGCTTATGCCTATTTGATTGAATTTAATCTTGTCTTATTAAAAGAGAAATAATTAGTCTTGCCCTTTCAAGTTGTTCCATTAATGAACAAGCCAATGAGTAATTTTTTTCTTTTCGATAGACCTGCTGCAAAATTTTTGTCCCAAGTGACAAATTGAAACATTTGTTTATAAGATATGCATCAGCCTTCTTAATCAATATAATATAGATAGAGAGACCAAGTGTGTGTGTGCTTGTATTATTCATTGCAAGAGATGATTGCATGCACTCATCTCCAGGGACCATGGCAGCGATTACGTACATGTTTAAAAGAACACAGTCAACAGAGACTGTCTGTTTTATTGTATGATATTTCTCAATTACTGGCTGAAGGCAGCTACCTCTTTGAAAACTTGTAAAACCTCACTGATAACATCTTTCCTCTCCTCTTAGTAGCAATGTTGATATTGGAGGAACAGATAAAAAGGTAGTTTCAGTGTGCCTGTAAGGGTGGCTGGTAAGGAAAATGGGAGGTGTAGTGAAGGGGAAAGAGAGGCATGACGAGGGATCAAGGCAAAAACCCATTACCTGGATGGTAGTTCCGGTAGTTCTGGTATCATGTAAGATAATGGGCATGTGTCACACCACTGATGGCCAGACTGTGTGATAAATCATCAAAGGCTCCTTTGTTGACAACTTGTAACCTGGTGGTCAGGCATGGTTGACAGTGTGGTTGACTTCACAAAAATAAGACTGTCCTGCCATGACAAGGAAGTCTACACAAATAGAAGTGCATCCTGTGGACCCCCCTTCCCCCTCCCCCCTTCCTTCACTTTTCTTCAACTTAGCAACAGCTGTTCTGGTCATGGGCAATTTCCTATGTGTTAATAAGTCTCCTGAGATGGCATTGTCTGCAGTGAAAGGCAGTGGCTTCCAGCAGCTATAGGGAAGGAGGTTACATGTGTACTGGCTAATCCAATCATATGATATTGTCTGTTGGCTGAAAGAGCCTGGAAGGTGGATGTTTGTGTTGGTCCAGGGGACTTGGACAGATATGTTATAGGACCATTAGAGAGCCAGACACATGGCAAAGCCCAGGGAGGTGGATTATTTTGCAAAGTGTCTCTTTGAGGTGGGTTAATTAGAGTTTCTGAGGTGTTCATCTCCACGTGGATGTGGATGATAACAATCAGAGGACTAGGTAGTACACTACAGAGGTGTGATGTGTAGGAAGTTTGTTGATGATAGATATAAGTTTTGTATACATACATGTGTGATATGAATTCAGGCTTTTTTTAAATAAGCAATGTACTCCTGACTGCAAAGAGCATACATAGTGCATGGGTCTGTGGTGTAATAAATTGGAAATGTACCTAATTACTGTTTCATGTTTGTTTGTCTGCAGTTAGGCTTCCTAAGAAACAATAAATAGTTAGGTCCCACATACTTTCTAGTACATGTGAAAATGATTAGTAAAAACAAAAAAAAAAAAAAAAAAAAAAAAAACATTCAAAGCTGTTTTTAATATTGAAGGCAAATATATGGGTTTGAGGACTTGAACATACTTCATGTGCAGTTCGTCTGTATGATTGATATACTGAGTATAGATATAAGGGCTAAGATCGCTGAGCCATAGTGCTACACCTGTTATTCAATAAGGTGACTTGGAGTTTAGCACATCATAGTTTCTCCCTTGAAAAGTTAAATTATTTTGTTGAATTTATAGTATTCTAAACTCATGTACCGTGTAGCTTTTAGTGGGAGATCACACCTATTATTACGTGTGGGGCATCATGGCTCAGTTAGCTTGTTAGAGCAATTAGGCTTAATAGGTTTGATAGCTAGGTTATGTAATTCTGGCCACGAAACCAGGTATTGTCAACATAATCTGTTGTTCCACAATTTTTACAGGAGCAAGTTTAAGACTTGTGTACGAGTACAAGTGTTTAACTATTTCATAACAGTAATAAGCTTGACAGGTTTGATGGCTGTAAAATTAGTTGTTCCTTTGTTTTTTTTTTTTGTTAGTGCAAATTTAGGAAACATTTGAGTCTCCAGTGTGTATCAAAATCTCTTTACCAATGACAAATGGCAGAGAAAATAAAAAGGGTTCTTTTAATTTCCTTTTCTTTCTAAATTATTCTCTCTAGTCACGGAATACATGGCCCAGAGAATTTACCTGCCCATGGGTAACTGACTAATATATTTAGATGATAATTAATCAGACTGTACCCTATTGTTTTAAACCAAGAGTCAGGATTTGATGATTAGTTTTATAACCAGTTGTTTACTCTCTAATAGCTCAGGACCTCAAAGGCTATCAAATATTTATGTCAGTTGTAGATAGTACAGAGAAGAATTGATCATCTGACATTGGAAATAGGCTTGGTGTTAATTTGTTTACATGCAGTTTGGCCAAAAAAATATGTGAGTGGGCATACGTCTTATCTGATTAAGCGGTATAGGAGATTAGTTCTTGATGAATACGAGTTATTGTAAGTATTAAAAGGTACTAAACAATGATGTTATTATGCAGGGGTTTTAATTCTTTATCTAGTTTATGGGACAGATTCTGGTTTGAGGATTTGACATTGACTGTCATGAAAATAACAATGTTTTAACCACCTGCAAAGTATACTCATGTAATCTTTATGTCATGTGTATTAAGATATAGAACAAAGATATATAACAAAAATAAAAAAGACTATATATATATATATATATATATATATATATATATATATATATATATATATATATATATATATATATATATATATATATTAATAAATATAAATGATTAAATAATAAAGAAAGAAAAATAACCACCAATTTGGAAACTACAATAGATTAAATGAAATCTGCATGTCAAGAGAAACATGAACTCCTGACATAACATTAAACTAACCCCCCTCCTCCCCCCCCCAAGATGAAGAGGAGAAAAAAAAAATTCAACTTCAACTAGTTGTCTCACAGCTAGAACCTTATGTGTTTAAACATAGAGCAGTAATGAACAGCAAGCATTCAGCCTCCTAGAGACCCTTAGTGTAAAACATGACTGTACACTTTGCATAATCAGATAGACATAGAGATTCAATTGTCTATTCTAGCACTATGTATGTATGTACATAAACATCATGTTTGCATGTTTATAGCTCCATATGATGCATTCAAATCCTTATTGTTTTTTTTTTTGTTTTTTGTTTATTTATTATTTATTTATTTATTTTTATGTAAACTGGGCCATATGAGCCACCTCTATTTTCCAAGTACCAATGAATAAAGACGTTTCACTGTAAAGTGTCTGTCTCTAGATGATATTGAAAAAAACCCTGAACTTAGAGTATTGTACTATTGATAACAAGATCCAACCATTGAGGTTTATTCCTACTGAATGCACTTTATGCAAAATTTTTTGTTACTTTGAATCGTATAAAAAACAACAAACATTGGATCTTATAATAGGTATCCTTTTTATGTGATGGGAATGATAAGCTATGTATATATTTATATCAGATTCTCCTATTTTTATGTACAATTACTATAAATGGTTTGATCACCTATGTCTGTCTGTGTGTGTCATCACGGTATCATTTTCCAGTTTTGTAGTTAGAAACCGTGAAGTAAATTGTAGCTATAGAGTTTCAGCATAATATCCATAATGATCACTTGTCAGAAGTTAAGATGATGGGTATAATGAACAGTTTCAACATTAAAACTTAGAGTTGCTGAAAACATACATGGAATGATAATATTTTGCAGTTATTTTTTCCACTAGGCACAGAGTTTTTATCATGTGCATTTAAATGTGTCTGTGTTTATATTGATATATGTGTGGGTATATAGACTTGGCGAGCAATATATTCAATATTTTACAATATATTGGTAATAATAAGATATGATCCTTGCATTTAACATGATTTTGATTGTACGATGACTCATTATCTGCAGATTTACTCCCATTTGAAATCTTTTTGACTAAAACGCACTTAAAGTGTATTCAGAACAGCAGACTAACAGATCCATGGATCAAATATGGCCGTCCCACTTGAATGCTTGTTGCGTAATCCCTGCTGGGAATCTATTCAGTGTCTTATTGGGAATTAAACAGCAAGCTCTTTAGTGGGTTGCCATATTTGATCCACAGACCTGTAGTCTGCTGTTCTGAATGCGCTTTTACAGACCCAGAGTTTCTTTTAAGGGCAAGAAAAAGGAGTGTATACAGTTAGAAAAAGGTTCTGTTTTGAGTTTAAAAATAACTGCATGTAAATCCTGAATTCTTTCAAGTTTTTCTTTGAGTTATTGTTGTTGTTCTTCTTCTTAACATGTTTTGCAATGTATCAAAAAAAAAAAAAAAAATAGGATGTTGCTGTGGTATAGTTTCTGTTCTTGGGACCGACATATGGTACTTGAACTAGTAATTTCCCATAAGGCTGCAGTTTTGGTTTTTGCAGTTTTGGTCCTTAGTATTTGGTCATGTATTAGTACTAATAAACTTGAACCATATCTGTATAAATGGACTCAATTTTGGATAGAATTTCTGTAAGCCAAAGAATAGGGGGTGTTTTTAGCCAAATCAAAACGCTGAACCAAATCAAGGGTAATTTTGTCAAAATATGGTAAAATGTTGGACATTTTCTCTTGCCAAATTAGAACATTTTTAGCTTTTGGTGAAAATGTGCTGTGCTAAAGTTGGTCCAGATCAATAAAGAAAAATAAAGAATGCACCATATTGTCACAGCATAAAATCAAATTGCATTTGGCAAATGTTCCAAGGATGCCAAAGTGGTTCAGGCTCTGGAGAAGTTCAATAAATTGCTTACCGATAGTTGCCATGGCAATGGAATAAGATAGAGACGTCCCTGTAGGGTCTGTCTTTTTGTGATGGTGCACTTTTGTTTGAGAGTGAAAAGAGATTCTTGAAGCCAAAGATGTCTTGCTCTGTCTTTCAGGATGACAACATATGCCTGACCTGTGTGACGCCCACCTCCAAGGACAGCCAAAATGTGGAGAGAGTCTGTCTGGGAGCTGAAGGGTTTGGAAACCGGATGTGCTACCTTGAGAACTTATCAAGCAAGGTAAGTAAGTCCCTGCTTTGAAAGACAAAATATTCTCAGCCTTCAATAAATCAAACCTCCCAGCATATACTTTGACATTGATTCTGTGTTAGAAAATGATATATCCACCAGCTTTTGATAACTCGATCCTCCCACAATTTATTTTGGCATTAATTCTGAAAGATTGTTTCCCTTGCAAATCTAGTTTGTACTTTGTCATTTATCAATATATTGATAAATTGATTTTGATAACATTAATGTTATGTCCATTAAGCTTTGTTATTCAATCTATCTGAGTCAGTATATGTTGCTTTATTTATTAACCAAACATAAACCACCTACATTTCTTCATGAAGGCAGACTATAGAATATATATATAGCTTCTCTTCTCTATATCATGTTTTCCAAATAAGTAGAAAAAATATTCCACTAAAATAATAAACACTTGTTATAAATGATAGTAGATAGTTTTTTTTTTGTATCTAAACATCGGTATGTTTACAGTAAAATGTTATTAGTAGCTAGAATAACAGCAAAAGGGTAGCTTTACTTTTTTATCTACCAATATGGAGTAGCTGGTGCATTAAAGCATAAAAGTACATTTTACAAATGATCCAGAGATGAATAAATGATGGTAATGAGTCACTGATAGCTGTAGGTGGTAAGAAAATTGTGGAACACTAATAACTTGGAAATCAGCACTTGCTGTGCTTTGCAGATATACTGAGAATGGTTTGGTTTTCTATCTTAATGTTCAGTCTTATAGGGCAAGGTTTAGTCTTTAGAATCTAAGGGCTGGAATAGACTGTTACAGTTATACTGACTGTCTTATTCTCATGATGAAATAGACTATCACAGGAACTGTTATAGTCTTATTTTGAGGACTGAAATAGACAGTCACCGTTGTCGTCTTAGGCTACATTCAGAACAGCTGACAAACTAGTCCACAGGTCAAATATGGCTGACCCACTTGAATACATCCTCATGGGTAATCTAATTAGTGTCTATTATCGGATAAGAGAGCAAGCTTTTTAGTCGGTCACCATATTTGGCCCGCAGACTAGTTAGTCTGCTGTTCTGAAAGCAGCCTTATTCTGAGCCTGACTGGAGTGGACTGTCACAGTTATAGTCTTATTCTGAGGACTGAAATAAAGCCACTATTAGTTTTAACTTAAGGGAAACCACAGATGGGATTCTTAATCAAAAAGAGAAATCAAGCATCTTATCTAGACCTCAAAAAGACCTTAAAAGGTCATTTTGCTATTGATTAGTTCACCACGTAGTCTCTGCTGGGATCTAGGGATGGGAAAAATATTTCCTTTTGGTAACAGAATTTTACTGTTTGCCTTCAGTATTCACTTGATTTTCTGATTGATGCTCATTTTATAAATGTAAAAAAAAAAATGAGTAAATAATCCCAAAATTGAGCACATGTATACTTTGAATTAATTATGCATGACGAGATATTTCTGTTTATAAACATAAATGTAAAATTTGGTTTTACTGGTATAATTCTGAGATGACAATTGTTATTAGAAATTAAATAGGTAGAAAATATTTTAAAAAACCTAATTAAGAATTTTATCATTTGAAAATTACTTGATCTTTATTGTTAATAAATATACAGGTTACAGTGATTAATTGATTTCTTTTCATTATCAGCATGTCCCCCCAGATTTGTCCATGTGTATGTTTGTGTTGGAGCAAGCCCTGTCTGTGCGAGCTCTACAGGAGATGGTCACATCAACTTCACAGGATATGGTAAGAGATGTGCTTCTTTAATCATGTCTGTAAAGCCCCCTTTACACTGGATGACATCCTTTCTGCATCCCGTAGTACGACCCTGTTAGAGAGTGAAAAACATACTTAATGCACCGACAACTGACCGATCATTAAGCATTCTCTCTGCCACCAAAGCAATGCTTTTACCTCATTTTTACGACCACAGCGATGTTAGTTTCAGGGTAACAGAAAGAACGCCGTCCAGTGTAAAGGGGCCTTAAACATTTATAGCAGCCTTTGTCTTCAGGACCATTCTCAGACCCTATCGTACTAACTGTGGATTGATCTATCTTCTAGGGGATTCTCGCTAAATTGCAATCATTTTAAGTGGCTTAGATGTCAATCACGCCTACTGAAGCTGTTAGAGGGTAATTAACTATCGTTTAGCAGCTTCAGTAGGCATGCCAGACATCAAAGCTGCTTAAGCTGAAAGCAATTTATCAAGAAACCCATTCAAGATGGATCCATCCTGTGAGATTGATCTGGGTATGGGAACCCAGTCTTTCACTTTTCAGTCTGTATCTCAGAATAAGAAGCCTCAGGAAGTACTTGTCCAAATAAAAATTAAGTAGTCCCAAGATAAAATCTATAGATAATGGAAGACAGAGATTTTCTTTAACTACATCAAATTTCAGTTGATAGTTTAAGTGGGAATGAGCCCTCAGCTTCTGCCAACTTGCATTCTATTTCACAACAGTAAGAATTCACCGTGCAATTTGTGTCACTGCTGTATTACTTTCTAAGACCCCATTCCCAGAGATGAGATCGATCCAAACTAGATCGACCTAACTCCCTGGGGGTTCATGCTAAATAGCTGTCAGCCAAGCGGGCACGAAAGTTAATTACCCCCTTACAGCTTGTAGTAGGCGGGACGGACATTTAAGCCAGATTATCTGACAGTAATTTAGTGAGACTCTCCACGGGGATAGATCGATCTAAAATCTATGGGAATATGCCCTAAGATATCATTTTTTGGAGTTTCATAGAGTTTCACCCTCACCAACATGAAATCTTCCACTTTTCTAGTCTGATACTGATCTGAATCTCCCCCCCCCCCCCCCCACCACACACACACACACACACACATCTTGGGGAATTTGAACTGATTAAAGGACTTGTTTTAAAACCAGAACTGGATGTGCACATCATCAGCTGCTGTGAAAATATGAGCACTGGTTCAAGACATTTCCATTTCCAATCAGATGTAAATGAGCCACTTCCTGTTATTTTCTACTGGCACTTTTCAGCCTAGATAAAAGATCTCATTGCCTGCACCTCACCAAAAAGGTAACGGCTTTGGGGAATTTGAACTTTGAGTTTTCTTTTTTGTTGTGATTGACTGCGGTGCACCTGTTGGGATTTCTTAATGGCTCTCGGAAATGTGGTAATTTTTATCTGTACATTTGAATGCACGTTTACCCTTTCCACCATATAATGGCGTGCGTGTCTGCAAAGCATTTAAAGACATGAAATCAGAAAGACAAAAAATTATTTTCTAAGAAAAGTCTTCATGTCCTCCACATAGATAATAGTATTTTTTTCTCTCTCACGTTTTCCTTTGACAAATCATGCAAGTTTTGTGTAGAAGGTCAAATTATCTGTGCATTGGCATGGAAGTGGAGACTGATATCTTTGAGTCTCCCAGGACCTAGGATACTATCACTGAAGAATTCTAAGAAAAATGATTCTCAGTTAAGAGTATATTTTTGTTCATTTACCTAGATATCTGCAGATATTAGGTTGAAATTTTGATGCAAAAGGGTGTTTTGAAAGGTGAAATGTCAAAGAAAAAAATGTAAAGTTAAAAGTGTATGCTACACAGAAGTGGACTCATCAATATATCAAAAATATAGTTGTTCATTTTTGAAAGAATTTACTTAGATGTTTGGGTTGCTTTGAGAAACTGAATCAATTTTTTGGGGAAAAAAGGAAGAGTGGATATGTTCAAAGAAGTGAGATTGGCAGATTATTGACCCATGGTTTTTGTGCAGTTGACTTTGTTTTCTATGTAGAGGACTATCCATTCTGTAGAATACTGATAGGCGGATACTGCTTGACAGAAGTTTGCCATTTGAGGAGAACAAAACACTTATTATGATACTGAGAGGGAAGTGGAATTGAACATCAAAGCTCCATCCAAGCAAAGAGGTTCATTCCAAGTTCAAACCATAGTAACCGTTGATTAAAGCAGTTTTAATGAAATATGCTTTGAATTGCATGATACTGTCAACAGACCAGTGCATCGTAGGGCTCATTCCCATTGAAACTATAATTGTTATACGTAGATTGATCCCACTCTGTGGGGAATCAGATTAACCAAGTAACACCCCTCCTCCCGAAATATGATAGAATACAGAAAAGCTGGTAATCATGCATGTACATTGTTAATCTGACTGCATTCAGCAAGAGTCCCCATGGAGTTGGATCAACCTATGTAGAGTGATAGTTTCAATGGGAATGAGCCCTTATTGTTTTCAAGGCCCATACTAGTTTGTTAAACCAGTTACTTTCAGATGAAGCACATTCTTTTGTTTTTGGATTTTCAGGCCACCCAATCTGGCCACAGAACCTTGCTTTATGGACATGCAGTTCTACTCAAGCATGCCAACAGCAGTATGGTAAGAAATGAACAAAAATATATAATTATTTCTAAGTTTTTATTCCAGGATTATTTATTAGCCAAATGAATGAATGAATTTGTTTCACAATTATAATGTTTGCCAATGAATAAGCCAGTGTGATAGAAAAGTATTTTAGTGCGGTATAAATCAATTTAATTTAATTCTAACTGAATGTGATGAAAAGTTTGTTTATTAAAGATGTCATCAAACAAAATGATCAAGTCATTTGTTTTGATTTTTAGTATTTATCCTGTCTCTCAACAAGCTCTTCAAATGACAAACTAGCCTTTGATGTGGGCCTCACAGAAACTCCACAAGGTACACTGTATAATTTATTATAATTTGTTTAAATTCATCCACATACAAGTTATGCTTGATTAAACTTTTCTAAAAATAAAGCTAGTTTTTTACAACATATCACCACTCCAAAATGAGTTGATTCAATGCAAAAAGAGAGGCTGTTAAGTTAAAATTAAGAGCGGCCATCTTGGTGTTGACTGCCATTTTCAGAATGTGTATTCAATCAATGTTTCAGGTGAATCCTGCTGGTGGACCATCCATCCTGCTTCTAAACAAAGGTCTGAGGGAGAGAAGGTGCGAGTTGGAGATGATCTTATCCTAGTCAGTGTGGCATCAGAGAGATATCTGGTAAGTTGGCATGGAGATGCCTGGTACAGCTGGTATGGTGCCTGGTAAGCTGACACAGTTGGCATAGATGCTTAGTGAGTTGAATGCAGATTCATCTTTGTCATTAGTTTTTAAACCCGGTTATACAAGGAAAAGAATACCCGTAATTTAGTTCATTTATATAGAGATGCTGTGTTAGCGAGATGATGTATTAGTACTTGGAAAAATGAATGCATCTTCTTCTCTCCAACCCTGTCTTTAACCTTTTATGTAACATCTTCCAGACAGACAACACTATAAGGCCGAATTCTGCTTCCTTTCCATATTTTTAGTTTGCAGTGCATGGAGGCAGATCATTTCCAATTTGCACGCATGCATGCATCTGCTAACATGCACAAATGCACACAGAACAACCATTTTGACCAGTATATGGCATTATATATTGTATACTGGCCTGTTTTTCTTAAGATGAGTGTAAGTGGATACATGTTGAGTGGTCTGGTGTGGAGTTACTCTTTCATTTTCTCCCAGGTCAATGACTTCAGTGGTCTAGTCACTGGACTAGAACATGATAGATATTATCTTATTATGGGTCATTATTTGGGGCAGAAATCCATAAGGAATGGTCAGTTGACAGCCTTGAAATGCCTAAAGTTCTTATTTTCAAAACTGATGTAAAGGGTATTCTTTGCATTTCACTCCATCAATCAGTACTTAAGAATGTCTGCACTGAATGAAGGCAAGCTTTATTATGAAACTGTGTTGTAGTTATAGATTTTTTAAAAGGAACATGACTGCACTTGTCTTCTTTACAAGACAATTTTTCATCCTCTTTTGAGTAGGTGAAATTTTTAGTTTGTTTAGTGTTTTTAGCATTTGTCTTAATTTTACAGAACACTACTATCCCCTTGCTGTCTTTAGATTGGATATGCAGTGTAAATATCAATAAAAGACTCGAAGAGTTGCCTTTCATTGCAACAGCAGACTAAAAAGTATCAGACAGCAAGCATTTGCTTTTGCGTTCAATTCCCTCCTGGGTTAGATATTGAATACAAATTGTCAGATCTCTTAGATCTTTTAGATTTAAAGAAATTAATACAAGCATCATGAAATAAAACCATGATATATAATTATTTAGATACTGCATGACACCACTGATGTTGACTTTTTCTTAAAAATGGAATTCTATGTTTTGTTTCTTGTAGCACATTGGCAGTGGCCAGAGTGTGATAGCCTCGTTCCAGCAGACCTTATGGACAGTAGCACCAGTTTGCTCAGGTGCCATCAGGCAGAAATCTCTTGGTAAGTCTCCATGGCAACAGTGCATATTTCCAAGGCAACTATTATATATTTCCATAGCAACAACAGCATTTCTTCCTTAGTTTGTGATTTTACTTCATCAAAATTGGCAAAATTATATATGTCTTTATGACTCTTTATGTTTAAATAAAGTGGGAACCAATTGTTTATATAGTGTTGAGTTTGAAGCCCTCTGTCACAAATTAATTAAACATACATTTTATGGATTATATTTAATTTTTTATCCTGGATTATTTAGATGAATATAAAAACAAAATTAATGTAACACTAAAAGATGGCATAAAAATAATAATAATAATAATAATAAAATGGTTTTTCTTTACCCAGGTTTTGTCTTTGGTGGCGATGTGTTGCGTTTATTCCATGGCCACATGGACGAATGTCTGACCATTCCTCCCGCTGGCAGTGAAAATGAATTCAGGTAAAAAGTGATGGTGATTACAGACATTTGGCCATAAGCTTTGAAAATTTTTGAAAATTAAATGATTTCTTTTTGAATTTATGTATGGAAATTTGATCATTATCGCAAATACTTTATTGAAATTTGACAAATATTTTTTTTTACATAATCTCTGGAAATGTGACCAAAACCTCATTTTAAATGCTGTATGGTAATTCAACCATCAGTTTGGATCTAGTGTGGGAATTTAACCATTATTTTAAATACTTAATTAAAGTTTTGCCATCATTTTGAATACACCTAACTTTAAAATTTTGACCATAATTTTAAATACTTTATTATTAATATACACTTTATTTTGTTTTAATATAATTAAGAATATATCTATTAACATAGATAGATAAATAGATCTGTAAAAATATGACAGTTAGGTTCCATAATATCATTTTCAAATAATTATCTATGTCCAATTTGGTGTAGAACTGCTGATATGCAGTTGGTGTTTTATTTCAAAGTTTTAGCTATAATAGTTTATTTTAGCCCACAAGGCTTTTAGATGCTTGCTTTTACTGTATTTGTTAACTTGCACTCTAAACTAATTTATGAGATTATTTAATTCATTTTCACCGCCCACTTAAGCTCATGTAATTAGCTATCTTTATCCTCTTAGACTCCTATTATAGCCAGCGTCATTGATTTTTCATTTTGGTGGCAGACAGGAAGCAATGCTTTAGTGATTCTTTTTGTAGAAAAAGGTGCCAAGCATTGATCTTAATTTCACAGTATTGTCAGTGCCACTCATCAAGTTTTGAAACTGTTTGGGTTCCACTTAGAGCCTTTTGTTTTCTTGCCAATTTCTATTTTTGTGCTATGAAATGGTGAAAATGTTAGCCTTGACTTTTGTGGAAGAATTCCAGAGAATTCAGCGTTTTGCGTCAATTGTTCTGTGATGACACACTCTCCTATTTGCATTCTTGGAAAGAAACACAGAATATTGACAGAAGTTGATGAACATGTGAATGATGTATTTTTGCCATTTTATAGATTTTCATACTTTTTCTGACATGAATGTCAGACTTAATGAGAGTGCTTACTACTTACATTTTATTATATAGTAATGCATTTATTGCATGTCATGGTTGCTTTATCCTTACTGTTGATTGAATACCATTGATTATCATAACCTCATTATAATTATTGATTGAACATGTTTATTTGAAATTTCTACAACATGAATGTTTTTCACATTTCAGTGCTGTCATGTATGAAGTGGGGGCTGTTTGCACTCATGCTCGGTCGCTATGGCGACTGGAACATATACGTACGAAGTAAGTTGCAGAATATTTTTTGCTAGGTGATTACCTTAATACTGTCTCAGTGAAGATTGCAGATGACTTCTGAACATATTTGTACAAAGTAAGCCGTGGCATATTGATTGATTTTGCATAAATTTAGTAGAGAAAAAAAAATCAATTACTGGTGCTTGTTTTTTTTGCGAAATTATAAATCCTGACTTCAGAAGCTGTAGATAAAAAAAAACAGTGCTATGATTTCACCCACTCTTCTAAGGGACCAAACAGTCGCACCTAGAATTCTTCCAGCATCAGTTTTATTTATGGTTATCAAACATCTGTACAATAACAGTTTACCTCCTGAAGCCCTGTGGCTCATTTGACCTCACACTGAGTCAACAAGTGCTTCCTGCAGGCACCCTGTAGTTGATGAACGCAATCATCAAGCTCCATTGATTCTCCATCAAGATGCTTCATAATGATAATCGATCATTTCAAATTGTAATCAAAGGCCGGATTTGGGAGATCAGCACTTAAGTGTTGATTTATGCATTGATAAGTTGTTGTAGCTTCAAAGATTATTGTAGCTTTTTCTTCTTGCTATCGGTCATGAAGGGGAAGCCACTGTTGGCATCCCTTTGGGCAAAATAGTTAGGCCCTCATGTGATAAAGATAGATGCTTTGCCAGTACCTCTTGCCAGAACAAATGCTAGCTTGATGAGTCTTTTAAATAGCAACAGGTGCATGAAACTGTCTAGGTAACAGAACAGTAACCTATATGAAAATGCCACGTCTACTTACAACTATTCTGTACGTAAAGATACCTCACTCTCAGGATTGTACAGCAAGAAAAACATATTGTGTAGGATATCACTCTGTGTGTGGTGGGTGTGAGTGTGTTTTAATGTGGGCATGCATGGGTAAAAATAGGAGCAATACATTGATTAATAATAAATTTTTTGCTTTCATTATGAAAGTATTTTGGATAAGCAAAAAGTAATAAAAATAAATAAAAGGCATTCCTCCTGAATCTTTTTGGAAAATTGAGATTGACCAGATATTTTGGAAATTTCAGTGTTCCACATTGCATGTTATTACATAATATTGAGTTTAGTTGATGCAAAAACAATCAAACAACAAACAAGCCTAGCTGTCTCTGCTCTGAATAATGGCATATTACACCTATCTTTGGTAGAAGCCAGTTTAAAAATGTTAAGCAAGCAAATATCATCTTGTCTTGGTTTGTAATTTTTTAAGAAGCCAAATGCATGTTAGTAGGTAGCATGCAAGCAGTCTCAATCTCTCTCTCTCTCTCTCTCTCTCTCTCTCTCTCTCTCTCTCTCTCTCTCAAGGAACTTTGTATGTTGAACTTAACCAATACCTTTTACATGATTCACTATTCCAAGCTATTAATTCTTCAGTATTAGCTTCTTGCCAGTGAAAAAATGCCCACCTGCAGGATATGACAGTTGTAATTAACTGAGGCCTGAGAAAAAAACACTTAATCCAGTGTAAATTGAATTAAAAACTGAAGTGACATTTCTCTAGCCACAGATTTTCCCATTGATATCAATTTTAATTTTAGTCTATTAATTATGAACAAATATAACAAAAATGTATGTAATATGTGTGCACAAGGCTGTCACTGGTCACTTGATATGTATATACTGTATATATATTATCCATGTTTTCAGATGGGCAGGTGGATTCATGGGTTGGGCTCACCCTTGTCGATTTCGTCATGTCACCTCAGGACGCTATCTCGGCTTGACGGCAGACAATCAAGTGACCATGTTACACAGAGACGATGCCTCAGATGAAACTACAGCCTTCTTCCTTAGACAGTCCAAAGTAGGTAGCCATGTGTGGGTTCTAGCAACCATAAAGGAACTACTATTACACTCAGTTAACCACAGCTTACACATATTGACTAGAACCAACATTTATTCCTTTCCAGGTTCCTGGCATTTACAAGCTTAGCATTACCTTTTATCATTGTATTATTCTTGGTATTCATGTATGATGTATCTGTTTTTATATATTTTATACTCAAAAAATACATTAATGTTAAAATAAATTTATAGGTTCAAAATAAAGCCAAATAATTATTCTGCTTCATAATCAGTTTATGATCATTGGGATGTTAAAATGAAGATAGTAATCATTATTTATATGATATTGCCATGTTGTAATGTTTAAAGAAAGAAGAAAAATTGTTTGATGATGAAGCTTTATGGCTTAATAAGCAAAAGGATGTAACTGAGATCGTTTGATGTCTGAGCATTGAAACATGTTTGTTGCAGGATGACCGCAAGCACTCAGAGGCGCGCGAAGATGAGGGGATGGGCACGGCCGACATCAAATATGGCGATTCCATTGTTTTTCTGCAACACTGTCAGACGGGGTTGTGGCTTTCCTATCAAACTTTCGAGACGAAGAAGAAAGGAGTGGGCAGAGTAGAGGAAAAGAAGGTAAAAGTTATAAAATTGAATGGGGTCCAATTAAAGGGGCATATTTTTCAACCATATGCACACGCACATGCATGCACACACATGCATGCACACACATTCATGCACACACATTCATGCACACACATTCATGCATACTGTTTGGTAGGAAATGAGCTTGCACAGAAAAAGATCACTTCTGAGTTTGTATCATCATTAGGAACTTTTGAATACCCTCATTTGTAATGTTTTGCCTAAGGGTTGAAAAACGATTTATATGAATTTAGCAGAATAAGCCATAACTTTGAAATTATTTAAAGGGTCATAGAGCTTTTGTTCTTTTTTATTCATATTAATTTTAAAAGAAGTATTTCTCTTTTTCCATATATATGGAGAGAGATGTGACTTCAAATATTTATTTAAGGGTAATTTTTTGATCAACAATTACTTTTATGTTTTGAAACTCTTTCGTCAATGAAATGGACCCAGAATCTGTCCTCCATGCTTATCACTTGCAGTCAAAAATTGCGAATACTGATAATTCAATTAGTGTGGTTATTGCCATGGTTAAAAATCAATAAAATCAAGTGCGCTTTTCCCAGTCTGTGTTTATTATCCTGTCATTATGAGGTCGGGTGGATAGAGGGAATAATCAGATATCTTTAAAAGGAGAAAGCCATCTGCTTCAGCAGGATGACGTGACCTTTGATATAATAAAAATGAACCTGTCTAAAGGGAAGTGGAGGGCTTATTGGAAATAGAGCTAGAGAATTGACATTTAGATTGATAGAACCAGGGGGAGATGCGATATGCCATGGCATTTGCCTTTTTCTCATTTGCGTCCAGTCAAGCAAAGAGCACTCTCGTCTTTATTTGCAATATGGTAATGGCTGTTCCAGAAAATTGGGGATCAAAATCAAAGCATTAAGGGTCAGGAGTATATTATATGCTATGTTTAATGGTATTCACCAGTTAATTATTGCTTTTATGATCTCTCTTCTTGCGATTCAAATGATAGAATCAAGGTGATAGATTGCATTTTTATGCTCTATTCTGATAAACCACCAATCAGCCTTTTGACAACAAATAACTTGGCATCTACCTGCTCAGATACAAATAGATATAAATAGGCAAAATTCATATTTTTGGTGGAAGCAAGTTAAATTGACAAAATGAAATGTTAGCAATTTCCCACCTCTGCTAGTATTTTAAGAAAAACACCAAAATTACACAATACAGCTTGCCTGGATATATATGAAATGATCATGTAACTTGTAAAGCGATACATCTATTGACATATGCTGTATAGTCTGTATGGATTCAAAATTTGTGTACACAGTTATGTATTCTCTCTGTTTTTGATATTTGAAATCTTTCTTTGCTGATTTTTCAGGCTGATATTATATATTTATTTCTATTCATCCATTTAGAGATATCAAGTCATCTCTTGGTTGATTTTGCAGGCTGTCATGCTTGTTGAGGGCCACATGGATGATGGCTTGTCTTTTGTTCGAGCTCAAGAGGAGGAGTCTAGATCGGCAAGAGTTATCAGGAAATGCCAGTCCCTGTTTCATAGATTCATCAAGTAAGTTCCTTTTCTCACTCTCTTTATTTCCTCTACATAATGTGGATTGAATCCTTTTTGACTGGAAGAAAGTTCACAGTCCATTAACTTTCCCTTCAAAATAATGCAGATAGGAATAAGTTAAGTTGATGGTCAAGTTTTTTATCAATATAATTAACCTTGTTTTGATGATTTTATTCATAACCATTCATCCCTCATGAATTTAAATAGTGTATGTTAAGAAGTTAAAGAAAAGAATTACAGGCTTATTAGATTTTCATTAGAGGAAATTTATGGCCAGACATTTTGAAGGTCTATTATCGTTATGATAATAATTATTATTGATGTATTTTGTCTTCAGGGCTCTAGATGCCTTGAAAACTGAAGGCCGCAGCAACCCCTCCTGGCAAAGAGTTAACCTCAGTGAGGTCATCAAATGTCTTGAAGACCTCATTGAGTATTTCGCACAGCCACAGGAAAATGAAGGTATAATATATTATATTTGATTCTGTGTTCATTTCAGGTTAACCCGTATGTATAATTATGTAATTATTTTTGCATTTGACTTATATTATAAATGATGGAGTGAGCCCAGCTGTTTTAGAGAATATAAATAACCTCATTTAGTATTTTTTTTATGTACGGGCGATTCATGTTGCATAACTGGAAAATACATAAATTTCGAGGGTCATGCAATGTTGTTATAATTATATATAAACATGATTATAATGTTTTAATGATGAAATTACTGCCACATTATCTTTGCTATAACTAAGTGAAATTAATTGAAAAATCAGTTCACTTAAACTTTTAATACACAAAATCATACTTTTACAGAACATGAAGAGAAACAACTAAAACTAAAAGCATTGAGAAACAGGCAGGATCTTTTCCAAGAGGAGGTAAGAAAAGTTGCAATTTAATTCAAATAAATGTGCAGTATGGTCTGCTTATTTATATATTTTTGATTTATTGATGTATTTTTAAAATTGATAACACTTTTATTCATTTTAGGGTATGATCGCCTTAATTTTGTCAACCATTGACAACTTCAGTCGATTTCACAGCAGACGGCATTTCGCGAACTACGCTGGTGAGGAAGCTGCCAACACTTATGAGGACATTTCTGGTTATCTTTATCTGTTACTTGGTAAGGAATTTGATACTGATGTTTTTTTCATATTTCATATTAAGTTGAAATTAACACCCATTTATTTCAACTTGTGAATTAAATTGTAAATAGATTTTTTGACAATGAAATCTTAAGAGTCTAGCAGCTACTATATGCATATTGCTGTTATATTGATTATTAATTCATTGAAGACTATTAATTGATAATTTTTTGGAATAAAAGTAATCTCCAGTTGACTAAATCAGAAAAATTATTCTTGTTGCTATTAGATATCACTAAGTATAGTGTTGAGTAAGTAAACATGAATATATTCAAAAGTTGAAACTTTTATTTTTGCATGTACAGACAGGTAAACTGTTCAGTCTAGAAACTAACTACACAGTCTCTTTTCATAATTTAAAACCCCATGAACTCTTGATCAAGCTTTTTTCTTTTTTAAAATGGCTAGGACAGGGTTTTTTCATTTAGCAAAAACCTCACAACCTTCTGAAGGGGTATCAGAAAATCCAACAACAAAAATACCAACATTGTTGTTGATGTATTTACACAGAAGGGTGAATTAACACCAGTCTAAATGCTAATTGTATACTTCAGCTGCTATGATCCGAGGTAACCGAGCCAACTGTGCCCAGTTTGCAGACTGCAATCGACTGGACTGGCTGGTGAACAGACTAGAGAGCCAGCAGTCTTCTCAAGGTGTCCTGGAGGTCCTCCACTGTGTACTGATTGACAGTCCTGAGGCTTTGAATATGATCAAAGAACAACACATCAGGACCATTATCTCACTCATAGACAAGCATGGAAGGGACCCAAAGGTATATCACATGCATGCTTAGACACGCCTGTATGTATGCATGCAGGTGCTTGCACACACACGTGCACGCACACACGCAGGCAGGCACACACACACGGTTCACTGTTTTTTAAGTGAATCACTGTTTTAGTTTAATGTTTCCTTCAGAAATGTGCTATAGGTTTTTTTAAATGTTGTCCAAAAGTAAGTTTTTTTCTGAGGAATTTTCATGGTGCTTAGATCATGCATTAGTTTTAAATAGGAATCAAGTTTTTTCTGGTGAAGTTAATGACCAACTTTGTTTTTATAGGTTTTGAACGTCCTTTGCTCCCTGTGTGTTGGAAATGGTGTTGCTGTAAGATCTAATCAAAATCTCATCTGCGATAATCTCCTCCCCACAAGGGATCTTCTGCTGCAATCACAACTGGTGGACCATGTCTCAAGGTGAGGATTGTTTCGCAGATTCTTTTTCTTCTTTTTTCTTTAAGCATTGACTTCTGTTTAAATAAGAAATTAAATTCATTTTCTTATTAGTTTACCTGAAATGTTTCTTCTTTTTGTTTACCTTCATATAAAAAGTATTTTTCTATTATTTTCAGCATGCACCCCAATGTATATGTGGGCCTCCAGGAAGGGTCTGCCATGTATAAAAAGTGGTACTTTGAAATCGCGGTAGAGTATGTAGAAACTGTCACTCACCTACACCCTCACATCAGGGTGGGCTGGGCCAATACCACAGGCTTTTGTCCATTCCCAGCAGGGGGTGACCGCTATGGTGCGAACGGGGTTGGTGATGACCTGTACTCTTATGGGTTTGATGGAGGCAGTTTATGGACAGGTAAGTTAGCAAGAGGAATGTAAGTCTGGTTTTGTGAAAGATTTTTAAAAAGTTGTAATGTGGTCTTAATCCTAAGTTTGATTTTATTGCTGTGTTGGTGCTGGATGCATCACATCTTACATTTAGCAGGCTGCTGAAATAAGAATATTAGGTCTGTTTAATGAAAAGTGAAAAATGATTTCTTTTAGCCAGGCAGACTTTATTCTTGTTTGTAGAAAGCTACTTGTGTATTCTTGTTAATTAAAGAAGACTTTTCAGAGCATCTTTCAACCTAAGTTTTTTAAGCAACAAGTCCATGGTTTCTGGAAACAATCCAGTGCACCTTGGTTTATATGACACCAGTCATGTTTATAATTGTATAATATTTATAACAAAAATTGTGCAGAAATATCTCTCTTTGTTTCAGCTGGCAAGCCTAAAACTGTGCGTTTGACCAGTCAATACCTAGTGAAGGGGGACATCATTGGTTGTGCTCTAGATCTCACCATCCCAAAGATCTCATTTACTGTCAATGGAGTACGAGTCAAGGGCTTCTTCAAGGACTTCAACCTGGAAGGGCTGTTCTACCCTGTTGTCAGTCTCTCTGCCAAAGTCAGGTGTGTGAATGGTTTAATACAGGGTTGCCAGGGTTGCTGTATTTATCAATACACTTTCTGCAATTTATATAGGGTTGATGCCCATTGTTTTCCAATGTTATATTGTTGCTTAGAGGTAGATTTTTTGTCAAAGGATAAGCTATGTCACTCTGTTGTCAGAATCGCGTGTCATTTGGTAGAATTGTTGCCAACATAGTGATCACAGAATCCTTGTCCTTTCATAAAAAGCAATTGTAATTTTTCTTCACTTGCTCCGCTGTCTTTTTTACTTGAAGAGAGAACTTGGTTGTCTGAAAAACAGGGCACTGTGTATAGTACACAAATATTAAATTTTAGATAGAAAGAATGAAATAAACATTTCCAATTTTTTTTCACATGCTCAGCTGCCGTTTCATGCTTGGGGGAGAACATGGCCGTCTGAAACACGGGCCGCCAGAAGACCATGCCCCCATATCTGAGGCTCTGCTACCCAGAGAAAAACTCAAGATCCAGCCTTCCTTCCATTTTGGCAACATTCCCAAAGGAGTGTTGTGTGGGCCATCAGAGATACAGTCGTATACTTTTGTTCCCAATCCTGTGGATACATCACAAGTAAGTAGTAGTAGTAAATGTAGTTGATTTGATTAAGGACAAGCAAAATAGATTTTACAAAGCAAGTTGTTGATATTGAATTAGTTTTCTGAATAATATATATATATGTCATATTTATGTAGAATTTACAATAGAAACAAAATTTCAGGAACAGGGAATGGATATGAGCTTAGATAGTATGAAATGACATCATTTTACTCCAATATCTGTTGATTCTTTAAAAAGTTTTTTTTTTGTTAAATAGATTCAGCTTCCAACTTACATAGAGAATGTGAGAGATCGTCTGGCAGAGAATATCCATGAACTGTGGGCCATGGGGAAGATAGAGCAGGGATGGATATCAGGAGAGGTAGTTTGTTGTATCGTCTTCCTGAACTGTAATCCTAAGTGTAGTGGTTACCTTTTTGTTAGGTGTTCGGTAAATTGCCATTTGCTGAATCATTCTGCAAATTTACGTGCATTTTGCCCAGTGACCTCTAGTCTAGATACAAAATGGGTAAAAGTATTAAAACTCAACATATGTCCATGTAAGTTATAATTAGTATATGATTTAGAATATATATGTCCATCTAAGATAAAGATTGTTTTCGGTCAAAATTAATATTTTTAACAAAAAATGTACAAAAATATCTCACTTATAACTATAATTAAAAGTTTCCAAACAATGCAGTGCATCAGTGTGTTATTTTACTTCTGATAGTCACTTCATAGATTATTATCAGTTAATTCCACTTTTCTTAGTGAAAATAATTTTTTTGTTGCAGATGCGAGATGATCAGAGGAAAATACATCCTTGTCTAACAACCTTTGAGAGATTACCTGCAGCTGAGAGAAAATATGATATAACATTAGCTTACGAGACTTTGAGGTAACTAGTCCAAGGATTGAAAAAATGTTGGGCATATAGATTATTATTTGTGGGCCTCTTTCATAAGAGATGAATAAGTATTTTTGTGCATGTGTGATAATGCATAATATTTAGTTTTGTGTACTGGGGTCCCTTCAAAAGAGATAATTAATTTTTTTATTGCATGTGTGATAATGCAGAATATTTAGTTTCATGTATTTGGGCCCCTTCAGAAAAGATGATTTTAAAATTATTTTTGTGTGTGTTTAATGATGCAGATTATTTAGTTTTGTGTTTGTAAATGAAGCATCTATTCCATTTCAGAACCTTGCTGGCTCTGGGCTATCATATTACAATAGCATCGCCTGATCAGATACCAAGATTGAAAACCCTCAAATTACCAAACAAGTAAGTCAAGAGTCTTAGTGCACTCTCTCTCTCTCTCTCTTTTATAAGATAAAAATCAATATAATAGTAGTTTATTTGAATCATTATCTGCATGATGCATACCAGTTTTTGGAATGATATTTTAGGATAAAGTTAAGATTCTCATTTTATTCTTGGGTACATTTAAAAGCTGATATTACACACACGCACACATGCATGCACACACACACACACATTCACATGCACACATTAAGAGTATGGAGAAAAACAAGAGAAATTCCTAGGTTGAGAAAGATCATAATTTTCCAATTGATATTCACTCATCCCAAAATGGCATGCTGTTTACCACACACATTTATATCAGTTATTCATTATTAAAATGGTGTTAAGCACTTCATGCAATATGTAGCATGCAACCCCCAATATACACAAAACTGTGCCTGAGGGAAAGCATTGATGCTTTTCTTTCTACCAATTAAATAACAGACCTGTTAATGGAAGATGAGAAGCTGTATTGATCAGTTTTATGTCTCTTGTTAGCACCAGTCAGTTCTATTATGTCTGCCATAAAGTCAATACACTCATTTTTCACCCTGAGTTTCATAGAGAGTTGGATACCTACCTTCACCATCAACGATCCAACATGGTGACATCCACTGCCCTGATTTTCAGTTTTATTACTGAAAACTGACCTCAAGAAATGGCAGAGGCAGGCTGATAGTTGAGAAAAGTTTCCATTATTCTCTGAAACTCTGGTGTCCTTCTTGACACTTCAGTATGCACACCACTGTTATATTGGATGACACTGTGTCATTGTTAGGCTGCATTCAGAACAGTGGACTGACTAGTCAAAGGGTCAAATATGGCCGACCCACTTGAATACTTCCCCACAGGGAATCTATTCAGTATCTACTAGCGGATTAAACAACTAGTTAGTCAACTGTTCTTAATGCAGCTTTAGAGGGTTTACTGGAAAAATGGAGCACTCATTTCTGAACAAAGGGCAGAGTAGTGTGTATACAACCTGAATGTTTACATTATCTATTGTAGAAAGCAAAAGTTTTACATTATCTATAAGTGAGTGCAAATAGACAAAACTGAAGAAAAGAATACACCTATCCTAGGCTTCTTGATACGCTAAGTGCATATGAGTCATATCATTCAGCAAAAGCTGAAAATATTTTATTAATTGATTAATAAAATATTATTACAGGTCTTTTTTTTGATAAAGATATGCTACACAGTGACTCGACAAATTACACCTCACAAAAGACATTCTGAATTATTTGTTATTACCAACAATAAAAATACATAAAAATATAAATAAAACAATACACAAAAAATGACACTGCTCAGTTGAAATTTTAATCAAAAGATGATTTATCAAATGGCTTATTTTCTTCTCCATCAGTTATCTCCAGTCCAGTGGCTACAAACCCACCCCTCTGGACCTGTCTGGTATAGTACTGGATGATAGGATGCATGACCTGGTGGAGCTGCTGGCAGAGAATACTCACAATGTGTGGGCCAGGGACAGGATCAAACAGGGATGGACATATGGACTGGCAGAGGTATTTTTTATATGAGAACAGGCATGAGTTGGAACTGCTCATCTAGTAGTGTGTGTGTGTGTGTGTGTGTGTGTGTGTGTGTGTGTGTGTGCTCTTGTGCACGCATTCTAACCGAGGACACACACCCGCCCGAAACCCACTAACCGAGGACACACCTCCAACCGAGGACGTCCTCGGTTGACATAAGCAGTGGAATGCATAAAGGGGCCCATTTCAAGTTAGGTGGTGAAATTTGACGCTATTCTGAGCCAGTCCTCGGTTATGCTGTATAGCGCGGGCCAAATTCCCGCCACGAGTGTATCAGAAATACTGTCCAACTTTTTGTCTGAAATCGGGCTATACACACGCGTCCTCGGTTGTGCTGTAAAGGGCGGACCAAATTCCGCGTCCTCGGTTGTGCTGTAAAGGGCAGACTAAACTGAAACTA